GTGAAGCAGTTTGATCCTTGGGATGAATTCTCTTAACAAATCCAAATCTTTTCTTGACCAGGAAGTAAAGGCCATTTCTCCCAGTGGAGGAACCCTTCCTTTGGAGGGAAATGATTTTACATCAAGTGTCTTACTTAAACTTCAGGAAACAATCCAATCGTTACCTACTTATTTAATATGCAAGAGTTTTAAACTTTCGGTTCTAACCAGGGACCATGATGAGATGGTGGCAGTGGGAGCATTTTAAATTAAAACCAGGGCAGGGATACAATTTTTCTTGGACAGACAACTTTCTGATCTTCAAATTTTGAGATTTGAGATGGTCATCCAAGACATTAAAAAGGTAACATATTTCCTGAGGGATATTAACCATCACCAAAGTAGATATCTGTGATCCCAAGAGAAATATGTGAAGATGAAAAGAAGATTGGTTTTGGTATCTGATTTAGCAAAGTGGAGGAAGGTGAATCTTAAGTGTCTGCAGGGGGGGATACTTATACGTGAGGCAAGCTGGTCTGCTCTCAGGATTCCCGAAATACTTGGAAGGCAGGAGTAGAACATAGGACTGAAAACAAAATTGACAACTCCATGCCCACCCCGTGCAGCCAGGCGACTGTCCCTCCTCCACTCAGAAAACAGGGGCTTCTCTGAAGAGATTAACCCAGCAGGCTCTGGTCAAAATAGAGGCACTGAAGTTAGAATAGAGGGGTCGATAGAAAGTCTCCATTCTGGAAGGTGAGACTCCCCCACCCCTCTCTTCCCACCCAGCCCTGAAGCCTCTGACAGTCACGGTTGTACACAGTAAGCAGGAAACTGGAGGCTCCTTCTCTTGAGAAACAGAATGGCCACAGCAGAAGCAGTTATAGGTGCTAATATTGGGAGTCTCCCATAGGAGTTAATGGCTTGCCACTCATTCACTCTGCACTAAAGCGCACTTGTTTGGGGGAAATAAATTTATACAAGTACAAATGTAATCATGGTATACTACTTAGCAAGGACCAACACTTAGGTAGTCATTATAACATAAATACTGAAATGCTAATAATTATGTTGACAAGCTGGAGATGGAAGAAGGAGACATATGAAATCTTTATCTACCATAATGAATTGGTAGAAATTTCTTAATTGACAGAACAAGAGTTATTGATGCAAGCATATTAAGATTCAGAAATAAATACAGGAAGAAGTAGCTTTTAAAAAATTGTATTTATCACTGCTCAGCTGGATTGGGGATAGGGGTTAGAGGACTGCCATTTTTCATTATTATGCCTTTTGGAATTATATGATTTTAATCATGCGCCATTGAATTAACTATGTTAATTAAAAGAAACAACTCTCTGTTATAGAGATTAGGCCCAGAGTTGTTCCTTTAATAACTTGGTGGCTCGCCTATAATAGGCACTCAGTAAATATTTGGTAAATGAATGATAGTCTTTTTTTTTTTCAATTATAGTCGACATACAATGTTATATGTTTCAGGTGTACAACACGGTGATTAGATATTTATATAACTTTTGAAGTGGTCACCCAATAAATCCAGTACCCATCTGACCCATATATAGTTATTACAATACTGCCGACTTTATTTCCCACGCTGTACTGTACATGCCCGTAACTGGTTTGTAACTGCCAATTTGTACCTCTTAATCCCCTCCCTGCTTTACACATCCCTCTACCCTCCAGTCTGACAGCCATCAAAATGTTCTCTGTATCTATGAGCTTGTTTCTGTTGTTTGTTTGTCCTGTCTTCTGGATTCTACGTATATTTGTCTTTCTCTGTCTGACTTAGTACAATATCCCCTAGGCTAATCCGTGTTGTTGCAGATGGCAAGATTTCATTCTGTTTTATGCCTGAATAATATTCCTTTGTATATATGTACCACCTCTTCTTTATCCAATCATCCATTGATGGACACCAAGGATGCCTCCATATCTTGGCTATTGTAAATAATGCTGCAGTGAACGTATGGATTCACATGTCCCTTCAAAGTAGTGTTTTGTGTTTCTTCAGGTAAATAGTGGGATAACTAGTTATCCCAGTAGTGGGATAACTGCATCCTGTCTTGTCTCTTGTTGTAGCCTTTGTTTTAAAGTCTATTTTGTCTGGTATAAGTATTGCTACCCCAGTTTTGTTTGTTTGTTTCCATTTTCATGAAACATCTTTTTTCATCCCTTTACTTCAGTCTGTCCATGTCTTTCGATCTGAAATGAGTCTCTTATAGGCCACATATGAAAGAGTCTTGTTTTCTTATCCAGTGAGCCACCCTGTCTTTTGAATGAAGCATTTAATCCACTTACATTTAAAGTAATTGCTGCTAGATATATAGTTATTGCCATTTTATTATTCATATTTATAATCTTTTCGATTTTCTTCTTAAAGAAGTCTCTCTAACATTTCCTATAATACTGGCTTGGTGATGATGAACTCCTTTAGTTTTTTCTTGTCTGGAAGCTCTTTATCTTTCCTTCTATTCTAAATGGTAGCTTTGCTGGGTAGAGTAATCTTGGTTGTAGGTCCTTGCTTTTCATCACTTTAAATATTTTATGCCAATCCCTCTGGCCTGCCAAGTTTCTGTGGAGAAATCAGCTGACAGTCTAATGGGAGCTTCCTTGAAGGTAACTAACTGCTTTTCTCTTGCTGTTTTAAGAGTCTTTCTTTGTCTTTCACCTTTGGCATTTTAATTATGATATGTCTTGGTGTGGGCCTCTTTGGGTTCATCTTGTTTGGGGCTCTCTGTACTTCCTGGGCTTGTATATCTATTTCCTTCACCAGGTTAGGGAGGTTTTCAGTCATTATTTCCTGAAGTAGATTTTCAATTTCTTGCTCTTTCTCTTCTCCTGGTATCTCTATGATGTGAATGTTGGTATGCTTGATGTCGTTCCAAAGTCCTCTTAAACTATCCTCATTTTTTTGGATTCTTATTTTTTGTTGCTGTTCTGATTGGTTGTTTTCTGCTACCTTATCTTCTAAATCACTGATTCAGCCCTCTGCTTTATCTAATCTACTATTGATTCTTCCTAAGGTAGTCTTCATTTCAGTTATTGTAGTCTTCATTTCTGACCAGTTCTTTTTCTTGTTGTCTATCTACACTTTTATGTTTTCTGTCTTTTTGTTAAAGCTCTCACTGAGTTAATAATCTCTTCCCCTCAGTTCACTGAGTATCCTTATAACCAGTGTTTTGAACTTCGCATCTGGTAGATTGCTTGTCTCCATTTTGTTTAGTTCTTTTTCTGGAGTTTTGTTCTGTTCTTTCATTAGGACATGTTTCTTTGTCTTCCCATTTTGGCTGCCTCTATGTGTTCATTTCTGTGTATTAGATAGGGCTGCTATGTCTCCTGGTCTTAGTAGAGTGGCCTTCTGGGTAGGTGTGCTGTGGGGCCCCATGCACAGTTTTCCCTGGTCACCTGAGCTAGGTGCTCCAGGCGTCTTGTATGGATTTTATGTGCCCGCCTGTTGTAGTTGAGTCTTGATTGCTGTTTGGTCATTAATGAGAGGAACTGACCCTCGGGCTGATTGGTTGTAAGGACTGGCCATGACTGGTGTAGGAGCTGACTCTACAGAACAGAATTCACTTTACGAGGGTTCCAGTGCCTGCCCTGTCTGCCCCTTGGATTTGTCATCCTCATATGTGACTCTGGGTGGTGCTCCTGGTGCTCAGACCATAGCTGGCCACAGGCATGCAGCTCGGGGGCCTCCGAGGAGTTCTGCTGCAGGTCAAGTTCAGCTGCAGCCTGTGCCCTGGCTGGGGCCACCTGGCATGAGCCATCAGGCAATCTGCAGATGGCTGTCACCTACGCTGGGCTTGGAAGTGCCTTGGAAGGTCAGGCTACAAACCAAGGCCAGCTGCCAATAGTGCTGGGTTTGGAGCTGTCCAGCAAGAGGTACAGGGCACACTGAGATCAGATGTTGCTTGCTTAGGTTTTGTGAACCTGTCAGAGATTTTAAGAAAGTCCGCAACAAGAGCCAAGACAGGCTGTTTGTATGGACGCAGCTTAGGTGGGCCCAGACATTGGGAGGGCGGGGTCTCAGGGACTCACCAGTGCGGGACAATTTGTGTTAGCCTGGTTGAAGGAGACTCAGATATGGCACCACCTGGGTCAGCATGCCACACGTGAAAGACTCAACAAAGGAACAATGCTCTCTGCCATCACTTCGGTCTGAGAGAAAGCCGCCCTTTCAACCCTCACCTTGAACCCCAACAACTCAGTATCTCCCTGTGTGTCCCTGCACCTTTCGAGCTGCTGCCGCAGTATTGGACTCAGAGCTCGTGAGCCCGTCAGTGATTGAGTCCGTGCACAGGCCCTTTAAGTGAAACACCTGTGACTCCTGAACCCTTCGTCTTTCTTAGCCACAATCTCCGCTGATTTTCACAGCCAGAAATTGTGGGGACTTCTCTTCCTGGCACTTGAACCCTGGACTGTGGAGCCCAATGTTGAGCTGGGACCTCTTGCTCTTCCAGGGGGACCTCCACAGCAGAGATATTTCTCTTGATTTCTAACTCTCACACACAGTTGTGGGACCTGCCCATTTCGCATCTCCGCCCTCCTACCAGTCTCGAGGTGGCCTCTTCTCTGTGTCGCCAGTTATAGGACTTCTGTTGAGCTAGATTTCAGGCAACTCCCAATGATGGCTATTCTGTAGTTTAGTTGTTATTTTGATGTGGTCCTGAGAGGAGGTGAGCACAGCGTTTACTTACTCCAACATATTGACTGAAAACTGATAGTCTTTTTAAAAAGGGATTTGGTCATTATCATTTTTCTCTTGTTCCTTAGAGAAGCCATCTCTATTAGAGTAAGTTGTTACTCCTTTATCTGTCTGCCACTTAAGTGCCTTTAATATTGATCCTTCTACCACACATTTTGCAATTTCTGAAATATTTTACATAAAATATTTACAGTTGTTTTTAAATATGGAGTTTAAGAGAATATTAACATTATATAATGTGCTCTAGTAATAAGAACCTTTAACATCTATTATTTCTGTGTTTTCACTTCTCTAGATCTGAAATAGCTCAGCTCAGTCAAGAAAAAAGGTATACATATGACAAACTGAAAAAGTTACAGAAAAGAAATGTTGAATTGGAGGAACAGTGTGTCCAACATGGGAGACTACACGAGCAAATGAAGCAAAGGTAATACAGGTTTGATAATCAGCTGACGTGCCATATATTAAATTTGTTTTCATAAAAAGAATGGGAATATCTGTGGAATAAATAGAATTTGTGATTACTGTGCTCCTCAAGGGACACGCTCAAAATCTAATACTTTTATGTATTTATGCTTGCTCAATTTAGGCTGTCCTTTTAATACATAGAGAGGAGAGCACATCCTTCTTTACTGTTCTCTACAAGGCATGGAATTAGATTTACTAGAGAACATTGTAGGAAAACCATCCACTTTTAAGGTGTAAGTGAATAATGTAATATAGAGAATTTCAAAACTTCTTTTCTAGAAATGAGTCTCACCTGTTTTTTGTAAGAGACAACACATAGTAGGCCTACGAAGCTTAAATACTTAATCAGAGGTTGTACTGATAGTATTGCTGAAGTCAGGATTTGATTCCAAACCTTCTGGTTCTTCCTAGTGGTGTTACTTTGAGCAAGTTACTTAACCTCTCTAGACATCTGTTTCTCATCTATATATTGTGGCTAATAATATCTACTTTACAGTTTGATATAAAGATCAAATATAGTATATATAAAGCACCTGGCTCATAATAGCCATCTACTAAATGGCATCAATGATATTTACTTTCTTTTTTTAGATGAAGAAACTCAAGTTCAAAGGGACTAATGGATTTGCTCAAAGTGACAGATTGATACTGATAGAATTCAAACTTGATAGAATTCAAACATGATAGAATTCAAACTTGAATCTTGATCTTTTGACTCCAAATTCCTTTCCTTTTTTTGTGCAGTGTTTTTTTTTTTTTGTAATAAGCACAGCCCCTTATTATTTCCTATAAATGTGTCATTTCTGTGTAATGATCGATTCCCCAGGAAAAAAAACATTTCAGTGTTTTACACCATACAGTGAGTTAGTTTTGGTGGACTCGGACCCCCACCCTGTAATGGCACACATAACGACAGCGGTCAGCCTTCTAGGAAGATGGTTTTCTTGGCCTCCAGCTCCCCATCCCTTTCCCAATCTCCATGCCTTCTCTGTTTCAAAAACAATTGTTGATATAATTGAGAGAAAATGAAAATATTTATAGGCTCCTTCTGTTTTTTTTAAACATAGAGTCCTGGGTGTGATGGAAGGCTTTTTATATAACTTTGACCATTTGCTCTGTTGACTAGAAGAAAGGAAATCAGAAAATGGCATTGCTTTTCAGTCCCCAAAATACTAAAATGTGGGTGTATTTGCAGAGTAATAATCATTCATTTATTCACTCATTAAAATATTTACTTAAGCCCAGACAGGTCAGGGGTCAGCAGACTTTTTCTGTAAAAGGTCAGAGAATAAAAAAATTTAAGGCTTTGTGGGTCACACATGGTTTCTGTCACAGAAGAAGTGACCTGGCTTCTTTGTTTTATTTTTGTCTTTGTTTTTTACAATCCTTTAAGAAAGCCAAAACCATTCTTAGCTAGAGGGCCAACAAAACAAGCCAGAAGATTTGATCCTCAGACTGTAATTTGCCCTTGTACTCAGCAACCAAGGCACATTTCTAATTCGTCTTTTCTTGCATTTATATATTGCTTTAGAGTTAGTTCACAAGATGCACTCACACATATTGTCTTACCATGAAACAAACCTGGAAAGTAGCTATTATTATCATTTCCATTTCCAGATGGCGGACTAAGGCTTAGAAAGATAATAGTTGCCAACTGAAGGTCATATAGCAAATTAATCAATCATTCATTCAACAAATATTTACCGATTGCTACTATGTGTCATGTTCTCCACCACATGCTGGGAAGAAAATAGCAAAGTAAATATAGTTCCCAGTCTGATGGAGCTTCTTCCAGCCTTATAGGGAAGATGGATATTGACAAAAGAATTTCACAGATATCTAATTAATTACAGTAATGATCATCAGTTCTATGGGAAAAAAAATATACTTTGTGTTGCAAGCACATTTAATAAGCAGATGTATCTTGACCAGGAAAAGTTTCAATGAGAAAATAACATTTGAACTGAATCTGTCAGCGACGGGCTAGGAATTATTAGCCTCTGACAGCGGGAGTTGGCAAACGGTGCCCCAGCTCAGAGCCCATTCTGTATGGCTCAAGGACACAGTCTCGTTCATTGCACGTTGTCAGTGGCGTATCAAGAATAAGCCCCATATTTCTGACATGAGCAACAGAGGTATAACGGTGTCACTTATTGGGAACTAGAGCACGCTCAAAAGAAGTAGTTTTATAGTTTCGATGGTCTGGGTTTGGGATGAGACCAAGTATTAAGTTCTGGCCATGTTCACATGCATTGTACAAATGGATATGTTGAAAAAGCTAGCAGACGTGAGGCACGAAGCTCAGGAGAAATGTCTGGGCTAGAGTTGGACGTCTCCACCAGCCCTGTAGAGGATGTTTGAACCCTTGGGAGTGAATAAGGTCACTCAGAGAAAAAATAAAGGAAGAAGGAAGAAGAGCTTACTGAATCCTAAAGAACACTCATATTTTTAAAGGTAAGGTAGAGGTTGGCAAAAGGGATCAAGACAAGTAACCTGAGAAATAAGTGGAAAATGGAAGAGCCCGTGATCATCATGTCGAGGGGTGGAAATGCTTCGGGAAAGAGCAGAGTGGCCGTCTGCTGCTGGGAGAATAAATAAGACTGAAAAGAAATCATGGGGCTTATGACATGGACATCACTGGTTATGATAACGAAAATACTATTAGCAGAAGATTAAGTACAGAAGCCATATTAGAGTGGATTGAAAAGTGTGAGTTGAAAAACTGAAATAGCAAATTTAAACCTTTTTCATGAGATTTGGCTGCAAGGAAAAGTGAAAAGCAAGAGAGACAGACCAGCCAACTGGTGGTGGGAGGATGTATTGGGAGGGACATTTTGGAACAGAGAATTTTTTGTTTTAAGTTGGAGTGGATGTGAATGTATTAAATTCAGATTTGCCGAAATCATTTAAGTTGTAAAGTCAGGGAAGTTAGGTTTTCTCACTGGTGGTTTGGAATTCCCAGCATCTACAGAGGCAGTCAGGGAATGTATGTTAACGAAAGCAATGGCCTTTTTGTTAGTTATGTTTTTAAAAGGAGTATTGATTCATATATTCCCCCCCGCCACCCGCCGCCCTTGAATAAAAAATCGTGTGGGAGCTCCATAGTGTATACAGAGGGGACAAGCCCTAGAGCCAGGGGCGACCCACTGAGTGTGCTTACGTGAATCTCATGTGATCAAGTACGATGTCACCACCCCCAGCAATCCTGGCTGTTGTGCCGGTTACATTACACAGTTTCACACAGTTTCTTTTTTTCTTATATAAGAAATCATTGTCTAACTTATATACATAAAATCTGTTGACTGAAAACGTGAACCTGCTAATTGGGAAAAAACAAATAATGAATTTAAAATTGATAGTTTTCTATAAACTAACCTCAGAATGATCTTTACCAAATCTGTAAGTCATATTTTTCTAATAGAAATTTTATTCTTTGAAAAAAAGTTAAAGTGGGAAATAAAGTATTGATTTTTATCTAATTTGACATTTCATTTTGAGGGAATTAAGACTATTTACTATTTTCAGAAAAGTACTTGAAAATAGAAGCCTAAAATCTTAACCTTTATTTCATCATTTAAAAACAAATCAAGAAAATACTGGCAAATAGAGTTCAACAATATTTAAAAAGAATTGTACACCTTGATCAACTAGGATTTATCCCAGGTATCCAAGGCTGGTTCAGTATTCGAAAATCAATTAATGTAATCCATCGCATCGACAACCTAAAAAAGAAAAATTACATGATTATGTCAATAGATGGAGAAAAAGCATTTGACAAAATCCAAAACTCATTTATGATAAAAATTCTTAGTAAACAAAAAATAGAGAGAAACTTCCTCAACATGATAAAAAATAAAAAACCTACAGCTAATGTCATACTTAATAACGATAAATTTGAAGCTTTCCCACAAAGATAAGATGACAGGCATTTTCCTTCTTTCTGTTACTTTTAAACATCATACTGGAAGTTCTACCTAATGCAATGAAGAAGAGAGAGGTACACACATTGGGAAGGAAGACATAAAACTGTCTTCATTCGCAGATGACATGAACAGCTATAAAAAAATCTGAAAGAATCAACAACAAAAAATTACCCTCCTGCAATAAAAAATTATAACAGGTTTGCAGAATTTAAGGTTAATATACAAAAGTCAATCACTTTCATATACAGCAGTAATGAACAAGTGAAATTTGAAATAATATGTACAAATCTATATGAGGAAAACTATAAAACTCTGATGAAAGAAATCAAAGAACTGAATAAATGGAGAGATAGTCCATGTTCATGAATAAGAGGACTCAATATTGTCAAGATGTCAGTTCTTTCCAAGTTCACCTATAGATCTAAGACAATGCCAATCAAAATTCCAGCAAATTATTTTGTAGATATTGACAAACTCATTCTAAAGTTTATATGGAGAGACAAAAGACCCAGAATAACCAACACAATTTCTATATAAATGAAGAAGAAAATTGGAGGACTGAGCTTACCCAACTTCTATACTTGCTATACAGTTGCAGTGATCAAGATAGTGTGGTATTTGAGAAAGTACACACAAATAGATCAATGAAACAGAATAGAGAGTCTAGAAATAGACCCACGTAAATATAGTCAACTGATCCTTGGGTAAGGAGCAAAGACAATACAATTGAGCAAAGATAGTCTTTTCAGCAACTGGTTTTGAAACAACTAGACATCTATCTACATGCAAAAAAAAAAAAAAAATCTAGACACAGATCTTATACTTTACACAAAAATTAACTCAAAATGGATCAAAGACCTAAATATAAAACACAAAACTATAAAACTTCTAGGAGATAACCTAGGTGACCGTGGTTTGGCGATGATGACTTTTTAGGTACAACACCAAAAGCATAATAATCTCATTCATTGCTGGTGGGAATGCAAAATGGTATAGTTGCTTTGGAAGACAGTTTGGAGATTTATTACAAAACTAA